ACCACCACCACCACCACCACTACCTGTATGTATCGCAATTGCAGATTCAGCGCTGATATCAAGATCAAGCCAAAAAAAAAAAACAGAAACGGAGAGCAGGAAACAGAAAGCAAAATGCCAAGCAGAAAGAAACCTGCAGGAAAACAGAGAGGCAAAAAGACAGAGTCACTAGCTCAAAGCAGAAACCCAGCAGCAAAAGATAACAAATCACTAATGCATCCCCCTAACTCTTGGCCTGGCCTAACAGCTAGCGACAGCATGCAACCAAGCTTCAACTTCAGCCGACGAAACTCTGCATTCCGGGATTCATAGATTGCATGCAGCAGTGAAAACATAGCCAAGATCAAGAACAGTGCCTGAGCAAAAGTGTTTCTCTGCAGCACCTCCATTGAGGGCATCCGCTGGAAGCCTCTGCCACAACGAATGATGGATGGTCCTGAAGCTGACGCTCACATGAGCTGATTCGAAGCCATGGCCACCTCAAATGATTCAAACCACCAGCGGTGTGCCTCACCCGTCAAACAACAAGCTTAAAGCTGGGAAGCTTGTCGTATTCCCGAAAATGGTCGGCGAATGGCCTCGAGAAGATGATCCCTTGCACACCTCTGCTTCAGCTGTGGAACAACCAAGGCTGCGGCACCCATTCCATCATTTTGCCACAATTATTTTTTTAACCCGGGATGCAAAGGATACCGACGCGGCAAACCATAATCTTCAGGGATCCTATGGAAGCCTATGGCTGCACTGTGAACACGCATATCAGAAAGTCCTGTGGTACAACCCTTTGTGAAATTTTGAGCAAAAAGTGCTGCAAACACAACAAGCACCTCATGGCATACGACATTTTTGGAGCTACCGGAGAACATCTTCAGCCACAACTGGTTAGCCTCCGGCGGCAAATCATACACAGACGGCTTCGCCTCATGCCGCCGAGAGTAATGCAGAGCAATCGTGCAAGCGATTGCACGTCCGAGGCCTTGCCAATGTCGTCCTTGAACAACCACAACTAATCACAAGTCAACATGCAAGCATGCCGCTAGCATGGACAACACATGCAAAAAAAAATTCCTTGCTCAGAAATCCTTCACCAAGACTGCATTGCGCGATCTGTTGCAATAGGCCTGCACTGCATGAGTCAACAGTATGACCAGTTTCGAAGCACATCGCCTCTGACATGCCCAAGCTTCGCCACAACGCCAACCAGCCAACCACACTGCGCTGCTTTAAACAAGAACCCTTGCTTGAGCCAATGCAAAAGGGGAATGTTCATCACCAATCGTCAAGAACATGGCGGCAACCGCCGTTCAGCACACCGTTTGGTCCACCTTGGCACTCAACATTGGGGCCAATTTAAGTACTGGTAACGTGCAGTGAAGTGCAGAACGCATGTTTCATAGTGTTGATTTCCAAATACACAAACTCAACAACTCTGATGGCAAAATGCCGCCAATGTGCCCAGGAGACAAGTTTAATAATGTATTTTGCGCATTTTGACCACTGGACCAGTCCAAAGCTGCGACTTAACCAATGCGTCAACAACATTTTACAAACAATTAAAGTCAAATTCGATAATAACATTGGCGCAAATCAAACAAATAAATATTCGGCGGCACGAATTCACGTCCACCATGGAATGTTTCAAGCGGATGCATACCAGAAACCAACAGTCTTCAACATCATTCCAATCAACTCAAACCCCCACGCGTCCGCGCACTGTGCTTCTTTGTGCAAAAAGGCAACGCCGCATCCGCAATCTTTGACACTGAAAATCGCACCTACGAGCATGGAAATTACAATCGCAAATTTTTTACTTGCTGACTTGCCACCAACGACTCAGTCTGCTCACAAAATGCATGGGGACGTGACTACTGCAACATGCAAGCGATGTCGCGATGCATGCTTCGCATGCATGCCCATATTTCCCATGGCACGCCTCCATACTCATGGTCACATGAACACTCCCACGCGGCTGGGTGGGTTGCACAGCTCACCCCAAGCCAACAGGATTCCAGGACTGTGTTCCGCGTGATCCACATAAGGCCTTCAAAAATGAAAACTAAATAATGCAGAAAATCAAACCTGGTTCTGATTTCCTGAATCTCAAGTTCACCGATGTTGGCAGCACCAAAATGTATCAATAGAAACTACTGTTGAGAAAAAGTAATTATGCAACAAAGTAGAGAAAATGTGACTGCAGCAACATGTGAGCAGTCACCACTGCATGTGCAAACACGGACCACAACTTCAAGTTCAAACAAATGTAAATGGGTGACTGAGTGCGTCATGCATGTTTAATCACAATGGTGGCTCGAACTATATGCCTTTCATCGTTTTTTTTTCCAATGCGCAAGCCTTGTCAAAAGGCCGTCAGCTCCGACAGCTATCTATTAAGAGGTTTTTTGCGGGGTTTATGAACTACTTTTGCCCATGCCCTACGGTCCTGAGCTGCAGGAAGAATACGCCTATACAATGAAGTAATATCCATCCACATTAAGGAGGTTGAAATGTGAGAAGAGCGTACCGCTGTGATATTGGGGAGCCTGAAGTAGCTGTGGGATATTTCGTAGTGAGAAGGAGGCTCGTCAGAAGAAATGTGAGATATACGGGCAGAAGCTTCTGCCATTGCCGATTCCGCCCAGTGTAGGCGTGGCCTGCCGACGCGGTTTGGGCCTCTAGTATATCTATACTGCCCAGAGGGCATAAAGGTGGAATGAAATTCTAGAGTATCTCTATGTCTAAAGAGATGACCTAATAGGGTGAGTCTATTCTGGGAATACACCTGTGATGGAGTAACCACTCTTCTGGAGTCGTAAGCTAAGCCAGCAAGGTACTGGTTGGAACAGTCTTCCCCGGAGGAGTTAAGAACCCTATGGTAAAAAGAGGATTTGATACCGAAAATACGCCTAAGGGCCTTGAAATGCACATGGTCAATTTTTGTCAATTGGGGGGCGGTAAGCTGAGCCCTTTCCATGGCATAAAGGAGAATTGACTGAACTACTGACCTATACACTGTTAGCTTCCAAGAAGGAGGAAGAGATTTATGTCCTAGCAAGGGCTTAAGGAGTTTTGAGGCTGAAATAGCCTGGGAGACTCGATAAGAAGTGTTACGCCGGTTGCTAGAGGAGGCATCCAAGAAAACTCCTAGATACTTGACTTCATCTGACAGAGGGACTAGCTGAGGAGATGCCTCAGCACCTGTACATTGGGTGCATTGACAAGGGAGGAGAAAGAGGGGGAATATGGAATACGGGAGTCTGAATGCAAGCGTAGATGAGCGCATTTGTCAACATTGAGAGTAAGGCCCCTTACATGGGCTTCACGTTGTAACAGATGAAAAAGCCTGGTAATTTGCTGAGCAGAGTTAGAAAGAAGTACAGCGTCATCGGCGTATTCTAAGTCCCAAAAAGGGAACGGCGTGTTGATGACACCTGAGAGAAGACCAAATTGTGAGATGTACGATTGCTCCACGTCAAAAAACAGATGCGAGAGAACAAAATTGAAAAGATAAGGGGAAAGAGGACGCCCCTGACGGAGGCCACGAGTTTGTGGAGAAACCTCAGAACAAGAGCCAGAGTCTCGGACCACAAACTTAGGAGATGAGTAAGAGGACATGATAGTTCGAACAAATAAAGAAGGAACGCCGAAATGTGTAAGAGAGGATTCAATAGCAGAGAAGGTGACGGAGTCAAAGGCTGTAGACCAATCTAGAAAAGGAGATGCAGAGAGTTTTGCTGACGTTCGAAGACTTCTAATACTCTGCGCATAATGCGCACGGGCTGAGTGGTAGAACGGCTGGCGCGAAAGCCGTATTGCGTAGAGCGGATTCTGTCATCGAAGAAGTGTGAGAGACTTTTTTGAATGACTGAAGCATAAATTTTGTACATTGTATTAGTTAAGGAGATAGGTCTATAATTGGAAAGGTCACTGGTATCCTGCTGGATTTTTTAACTAACATAACCACCTCTGAGAGGGCCCATGAATCCGGGGCAGTGGAGGTAGCCAAGCAATGATTGAAGTGATCCAAGAGAAACAACTTGAGTATGTAGGGAGAGCCTTTGAGCATTTCAGTGGTGATAGTGTCAGGGCCAGGGGCCCGTCCCTTAGAGAGTGATCTGAGAACAATATTGAGCTCAGCCATAGTAAAAGGAGAATCACAGTTAATAACAGGGGATGGAGAGGAAGGTATAGCGGACTGTTCTGAAGGAGCGTTCCATACTTTTTGAGAGAGGTTCTCAGCAAAAACAGAGGCACGTTGGTGTTTTGCGGAAAGCTTTCCATGAGTGTCAAAGAGGTTAACTGAGCGTGGAACAAAGGTTTACGGATGTGTCTCGCAGTTCTCCATTGCTGTATTGAGGATGCGTGAAAGTCCTGTTGGAGGTGGGCAGCAATAAATTGTTTCTTATCTTTGGAGGCAGATTTTTTTAATACGTTTACGAATGGCTTTAAGTTCGGGAGTCGTAAGATCTGAGACAGACTGAAATGTAGAAATAAGAGAAAGGGTAGTTTCAGAGATCCATGGTGTCTTGGCGGAGACTGGGAGAGACGGAATGAGGTGTCTATGTTTGAGAGGGAGCTCTCGGAGAAATTCTGATTGTTCTTGTGGAGTTTTAGAGTTCCAAATATACAACCCCGTGAGGGGTCTGAGTTGCGGGCGGGGGTGCGCAGCACATATCCAAAAACGCACTTCATTATTTTGGAAGGGTGTGAGGGCACACAAAAACAATAGCCCGCGCGTAAGTCAAAAACATGATGCAACGCGCAAAGGCAATTATCAGGATTGCCGCCAGACCAGATAGGGTGAAGAATATGCCGCATTTTCGGGTTGCGCTTGTGGGGTTGATTGAATTTGTCTCCTTGCAGTCCAAACCCTCAGCCCGCCCACAACACAAGTCCGAACACTGAACACCAAAGCCTTTCATCCCTCAAGAGACTTCGAGGAAACAGCTCCTTGCCTTCCAAACC